ATCAAGGGACTTTAACAGGGAACCATTAATGCATTTATGCTGTTTTTTTCTGAGGGCATTTGTGTCTGTATAGTTAAAGAGTTTAAATTCATGTTGCGTTTCAACTAAAAGGGAATTTATTTCATAAAACACTTTATTTGCAGCCCAGCAGGTTCAAATTCACATTATAAATTAACACAGATGGCCTATTGGCTTCATGCACGCTGCATACAGCTTTGCTCAAAGAATCCTCAGTGAAAGAAGCGCAATAATTAACAAAGGGTTTTGATTGCTCATCGAGTGTGCCAAGGTACCCTTCATTTCCCTCGTTATGTAAGCTGAGTCAGTCCCTGCATGAACCCAATTAAACAGAGTCTTTTTTATGTCTTTGCAGGAGTAAATTTCAGAAAATGTAATTAATCTTGTTTCACATTAACTAACATGCACTATTTAAACACAACTGAATGTGCATTCAACTTACTTAGGGTGTATGTCAATGTTAAAAAAACAGAAACCTTTTTGTAAATGTAGATTTGGAGGTTTTAAAATAAACCCCAAAAATATACTGTTGAAAAAAGCAAAGTTTAGCTTTAGCAGAATCAACAATGATCTAACATAAACAAAGGTTTCCTACGGTCAGGCAATCAAAGCCTGCATTAAATAAATTACTTTATCTTGATCTCAGAAGATTTTCTGATAACAACTATCCTTGCTTCAAATATAAAAGGAAGCTATTATCATCCTTATATGGAGCTTTAATGAGTTCATCTGGTATTTCATTCCAGCTATTATTTCCTTATACCTTGAAAAAACTTAAAAAAGTGTGTTATATTGGGGTAAGGCATTTCAATAGGTATATCTATTTTACCAATTTATTTAATCTCTGTGTTATTTATGTCATAACCAATGCAAATAATTTGTTTATATCACAAAAGTGCTCAGAATACTTCCACTGCTTAGTAAATCCAAGGTCACTCTGGGTTATTTTGTTTGTTGAAATATAAAATCATTGCCAATATCAAAGAGGTATTAAACAAGGCCTGAGTTTAGAGGGACTATAATAAACAATTCCTTTCAAAAAGTAATTAGGAGGGAGCCATTGTAAGGAGGAATGGGTGAGACTTTCCAGCACACACAGGTCACAGTGAAAACAGTTAAAAGTTGACAAGTTTATGATTCCCGAAGCAGAACTCTTTCTTCTGCCATGCCTAGAAAATAGGGGAGTTTTCTTTCTGTGCTAATGGAAATAACTTCTTTATGTGACTTAATAAAGCTTATCTCCTCACAACAAATACTCAAGGACTATTAACCAAATCGCAGTTTCAGATTTCATCACATGCAGTCAGATCTTAGCTTTACACGGTTATCTTGCATCCTTGGATAGGATATTAAAATTAAAGGCCAGCGGAGCTATTAATGTTTGGCTAGAAGCCGGTAAGGCTCTTCAAAGATACTGAGTGTAACTTGGAAGGCTTTCATCGGTCCTTTCCTTGTCAGAGAAAGACAAATTTGACTTTCTCAGCTGCAAAAACCATTATGGCAGCGAAACAAGCCCCTGACACAAATAAAACCAGTCGAAGAAAAGTATAGCAACAGGATAAACACTGCTTTGGGACGTATTCAAATCCATTGAATTTTCTCAAATCTTTTTAAGATAAAAACTTAAACATCAATTTTTTTTATAATTGAATAAAACACATAAAAAAAAGGACTTTTACGCCTACATATGAATATGCTATGTGTGGTGGAAACCTTAACACCATGAAACAGTGGTGGCAATATAATACTATGTGTGGACAGGAAAGGTAGTTAAGAGTTAACAGGTTAATAAATGGCGCAAAATTCTGGCCAGAACTGCAAGAGAAACAGTTTTAGATGCTAAATGGAAAATGATCCTCAACATACAGATTAGATTAGATTAGATTCAACTTCATTGTCATTACACGGGTACAGGTACAAGGCAACGGAATGCAGTTTAGGTCTAACCAGAAGTGCAATAGCAGCAAGTGCAGGACAAATATTGGTTCCATAAATACAGGACATGGGTTTCCTACTGAATGAGTATAGAGATGAATACCATTATAAACAGAATCTTACTAATAGATAAATATAATATATAGATAACTAGTGTTATGAACTAAATACAGCCAGTACAACTATGGAAGAGATTATATCCGAGCACATTCATGTTTTCAATGGTTCAGTAAAAGCCTAGTTTAAATCCAACAGCATAGGGTTTAGTAGTGGCATGGGTGTTGCGATACGATACGCATCATAATACGGTATTATCAAGATATTTCAATATTATTTTATATTGCAATATTATTACCAGCTAGCAAATGAAATGTATATATAAAAAAAAAAAACATTGAAAATATTGAAAATGCAATTATTTTGGTATCCATGTTGTTTGGGGTTCGAGTTAATCCACGTCTTCCACTGTAATTTCCTCAGTTACAGATACAGCGTTACAGAGGTAGCCCACTTTTCCTCATTGGTTTAGGTAAAATTTTTTCTTTTTTTATCGATAATAGGAACTGAAAAATCGATATTATATTGGGCAGCTGAAAAATCACAAAACATCGCCAATCGATTTATTCCCACACCTCTACCTAAAGGTATAGTGGAGGATGTTCTTCTTCCGGGTGGATCATTAAAATAAAAGATCCTACTAATTGTCAATCATTCTGGTGATATGTTAACATTAGGCTGTCCTACATGTTCATCTCCATTTTCACTTACAGTGTACCAGTGGTGAGTCTGACATACTGGAAAAAATGCAAATCTTCTTTTGGAAAGAAAGATGGTATGAACGATGCAAACAACAATTTTTAAACAGAGCGTGCACGACGAGAAATGGGCTGTTGCACGCTCTCGCTGGTGTTTAATAGACATTCCCTCTCAGAGCGGGTACAGCATTATGCCTGTTTTACTTTTTATTTTTAAGTGTAGAGGGCGGGTCTTTTGAAAAATTTGCAAAAATCCTCCCCATACCTTTAAGTATGACATAAACAATGATGCGCTCTGCCCAATGTGAGCTCTAGCCGTTATCTTAAAAGGAATTGGAGGTCTGATTCTTTTTATGTGCACAGCTGGTTGAGTCATACCCAAAAAAGATCAGGAGCTTCAAATGTAACAAGAGGTGTTTCTACAAGCTACTAAACCAGGAGAACAAATGCATACACAGATAAATTTCCATTTCTGTTTGTAAAAGATTCTGAAAACCGCGTACATTTCTCTTCAAATGTTAACACTTGAGCAGTGCACCTGCAGCTCAAGCTAAGGACACACCTTTGACGACCATGATGTTCAAATTATAGACAAAGAGAACAGATGGATTGAAGGAGGGATGGGGGAAGCCATCTTTAACAAAAGAGAAAAACAACACTGAGGGATGGTCGTTTTAGTTTCCAGTCAGTGAAACTCATTCCAAGGAAATCCTATAAGCAGTCCCATCATGATTCAGATTGGCAAGAACACAACTCACCAAATAAAAGACATCACTAACCCAGGTAACCAATGGGTGGGTCTTTGATTTGCATCTGATTTGAAAATGCTCCAACAAAGATGGGCCTGCATGTGATTAAAAACATCGGCTTTCCAACTACAGGTTGCTCAAGCGTGAGCCGCAAGAACCGCAGAATTCAACATGTTAGTGATAGAGCGAAAGTCTGGTATCCTCTTAAAGCTGTTTTTGGCTCTTCATCAAACATATTTATATAAAGAAAAATTTGTTCATGAATGAAAGCTTGATTTGCCAACAAAACGCTTATGCACCTCTAAGTTAAATCCCTCTATAACCAAAACTAGACAATGGCACAACCTTTAATCTTATAAATAAGCTTCAGTGTAAGTGACACTAGTATTAGTTTTCTTTTTTAGTGCATAAATTAACACTGACATTATCTCTGGAACAAAAAAAATAAATAAAAAAAACTCTGCCAAATGTCTACTTTTTTTTTTTATAGGTTAGGATGTTAGTAACTGTTTTTGGCCAATACACAATGACCATAAAGTTAAGCCCGTTTGTTATTATATAAAAAAAAGAAACACAATATAACTGCCATTACCTATAAGAATTGGTAAAACTATCATTCAAAACTGATTCAACAAACACTGTTCTGTAGCGGAGTTAAAATGTGAGGCCTTGTTTGAGTATGAATCTATTTAATAAGCTAAACTTCTCTTAGATTGATGACAGATGGCTTTGAATGCTCTCTTCCCACATGCACAAAGGTAAACATTGCAGGTGTGTGCAACAGCTGAGCTTCTTCTTAATCCTCTCAACACTCAAGCAAGATGCCAAAGCATTTAAACATTCCTCTTTCTTCTGCAAGACAAGCTCTAAAAGTGAACAAAAGAGGACGGAGCCAATGCTTTGGTTATGCTGTATGTAAACACTGACTGAGGTAATTACTACTCCCTGTTTCCTGTTCTGGACACACAAACACTTGATGTGCACAAGTGTGTAGTGCTGTATTGAGTTGTCTGGCACCAGAAGAAGAGAAGTAGACCAGCCTAAATTGATATTTCCTCCATTGCTGAGTTTTATCAGATCTTTGGGGAAGCTCGATTTACTTTGATGTTCCCTCTTATCTCATATCAGAGGTGTAATTAAAGCATAATAGATGACTAAGCGACTGGGAAGTAGTTTCATTACTGAACTCAGCACAATATATTAAACTGAGTTCATCTAAACTGTGGAGAAAATCACAAAAATAGTGTGATGTGGAAGCTGTGATGCTGGAAAACATGACATGTGGATGTTGATTGGTTAGTGATACAGATGCTGGTTCTCACCATTTATGCATGCTCTATTAAACCAATAATTCTTACATAAACCAACTTTGAGTTAATGTGTGGAAAATAAACCAATTAGCATGAAGGATGACACTGAATCAGTGCTTTTTTTTTCAAGTTCCCTGGAAATCTGGATGTTTTATCCAACTTAATGAGTTTCAGTGGCTTATGCTGTGCGTCATAGTCTCATGAATTGCAGCTTAATGTGTTCATGAACTCACCACTTCCACCGCCTTTAAAATCCCCAAGTAAGACCGGAGGTACTCCATGTCGCATCGTATCGCCCCTAAAACGTTGCGCGAAAGGACGGGCTCTGTGGTGGGCTGGTACGGGCTGCTGGCCCCGGAGATCATGGACGTGTTGGAGGCCTCGCCATCAAAGCCCTCGGTCTCCTCGGTGGTCCTCATGGTGATTTCTGGAGACTCTGGACCCTAAGCAGCACACTTTATTATTAACAGCATGGAGAGAAAGAGGAGGGGGGCGCGCAGCACTGGTAACAAACTCAGGGTCTAGGCTGCGCTGCAGGTTATGAGGCGGAGATCAGACTTGGTTTTATGTAGGCTGGAGGTGAACGGAGGGAACAAACCCTAAGGTTCGCTTTTCATCGCCTCATCCAGCGGTAGATGGTCCAGGTCACGACGCGCAAGAAAAGCAAAGCCGCTGCGTTTCCTCCCGCTGGCTTTAGAGAGCCGCACTCATCCTCTGGTTCCAGTCCCACTGTCCGTTTACACCCGGCGACCTAGATTATTATTTAGATCACACATTATCTATTATCTATAAGCGAAAGGAAAACAAATCCTCCAGTAATTGGGGTTCTAACTAACTCAATTAGAGAGGCGCGCAGTGGTCGCCGCTTTGCTCGCTGTGGATGGAAAGCAGCTTGTCTCCGCCCCCTCTGAAAAACTGCACATTCTTCACTAGGCTTGGTGCCCGATTTATTCCCAGGCAGCCTGTTAAACCGTTTCAGCCTGAACCACGTCGGGAGAGACCAATATAGCTGCAGTTTGCTCGCCGTATTTCCACTACACCATTAATTTGGCTCTTTTTACGCACACGTCTTTATCCTTCAAACGGCTTGTTTATGTTAAAATCTGTTGGTGCCGAATAATCACACATTTGGAGGGATACTTTAAAAACAAAATAAATAATTAGGATCCCATAAAATATATATTTTACGTAAGCAGTGGTTGCCAGAATAATTTAGATGGTTTCAAGTTACTCAGTGAAGTTCAGTTTCTTTGCGCGTTACTGGCCTCTAGTGGTAAAAAAGGGTATAACAAGCCACCTGGGGTTAAAAACAACCAACTAGTTTGTGGCTAGGCTTAAAAATCAATTATTGTTCTTCACGAAAATTGCCTACAATTGGATTCAGTTAACATTAAATGTTAACCTTCACTGTAATCAAAATATACATTTTATTTGATTCAACATCTAGATATGCACCAATATTTTTTTTGAGTTACCCGATACTGATACATGGGCTGAGCCAATATCCGATCCGGTACTACTGTTGAATTAACCATATACCTTGCCATGCAAGTAAAGACATCATGGTAACCATTTAACTCAGATATAAATCGTCATTAGCGACAGTGTGTGTTCTGTGCAATTACATAATCAGCTTTGCAATCATAAAATCACTAGAAAAAAAGTCACCAGATGCTGTAACTTTACTGCTATGTATGAAATACATATATATGTATATTCCATCATAAATATTTTAAATATAGAATATACATTTTAATATAATATACAATAATCAGTCCAGGTGTTGCCAAATTTCAGAGGTTTTTCACAGCCTGGCCAGTGACACATCTCAAAACGACCTTTGACCTCTATCTCCTTGATAATGACAGGAAGGCAATACCTATCCTAGCCTTGTTTCTTCTGAGCAAGTGTTATGTCACTGAGAAGGAGCAATGCTGCCACACCTATTTTTAATTGATTCCAGAGCTGGATAAGATGTGGTGCAGAATGGGCTGCTGCATTATAATCATAAGGGTAAAAAGAACTTTGCTATTGAAGCAAGGTGAAGGGTCGGTCTTTGTACATCTACTGCCCCTCATTATCACTTCTGGGGTAGAGTTTTACTGATGTGCACTGCCTATGATTCAATAATTTAAAATAATGTCTACTAAAACCACTAGGTGATGTGTTTATATGAAGAGGAACCATAATGTCTTCTTTATGTAAAAAAAAAAAAACAGACAAAAACATGGGATTCTTGGTTTTATTGAAGCCAGGGTTCTGATAAACATTTCCTTATCTTTGTCAGCATAAGAAGCTAGGATCCACATGGCAGCTTAGAGGCTACATAGTTTTGTTACAGACAATATAACATCAACCTCTTGAACCATTCTAGGACACAAAAGAGCCAGCCATGTGCTTAAAAATGTCTTGATATCCTGAATATAAAAGGACTGGAAGCAGAAGCTCATAGTCTCGCATAGATGAAGACAGTCAATAGTGGTTGAAGGCCATTCAGTTAGGATGTTATGAAGCAGCTAATTTCAGGTCAGATCTGAGTACAAAAGTTAATTTTTTTTATCAGTTTCAAATGATCAAAGCAACACCCGATCTTCAATAAAGAAGATATACTCCGACAGAGCAGCACGAGAGCACTCCACACAGCTGAAAGCCTCAATGATGCCAGTATGGCTAAGGGATGATCAAAATTAATCAGGGTGCTACTTAACTACCAGCAGGTAAAATATGCATCACATGTACTATACTCCTTAAACACTAACAGTTGTCTTATGATTTTTAGCAATTTTCCTAAAAAAGGGGGGAATTTATTATAATCTTTAAATAAAAAATTTAAAAGACGAGACCCTTCTTTAAATGTTTTTGGGGAAGTGCTTATTTAGCGTGTTCCAGCTGCTTCTGGTTGATCCTTAATTGTGCTTCATCAATTCCAACTAGAAAAAAAAAAACAAAAAAAAAACACCACCATACACCTTGGAAAAGAAAACGTTTAGTTAATTATGATTTTTTTTATACTGCAAAAAGCAGCCAGATGACCAATGAAGGAATTTAGATTTTTCCTTACAGCTAAGAGAAAATGTAAATACATTAATTCCTGTTGGCCAATGGTTTAGTTTAAGTGGCTTTCAGTGTGTTTCATTAGGCTACAGACCAAAAATGCTGAATAGCACATTTGTTTTTTTTAACCAATTCACAGGATGTTGATAAAAGGTTTAAAGGCAGGTCTGATGTGTGGAATGCTAGAGCTTCATGCAAGAGTTTCACAAGAAAGGCCACTGGTTAATCTAATGGAAGACATACAAATGCAGAAAGTAGGGACTAATATGCATCTTTGGTTACAAGTTCCAGTCCCCCCTGTACACAGAATAAAAAACAGCTGCTTTCCTCAGACTGTAATTCTGTAAAAAGCCACTCCACACTGAATATTATCCACAGGATTAAGCAGGGCCTTGCATATAAAAAAACAAACAAAAAACTTTGTGCTGAATTCATTTGGATTATGGTATCAAACTAGAAAACTAACAAACACTAAGATATGGTACAGTTTACCTGCTGCAAGTAAAAGATCAAAACAGTAATGGCAGAAGACAATCAAGCAACCCCTTAAGGACACACAATGTTCAGTTCCTCCTTGTGAAGGCAAGGGGGTGGGGGGTGGAGGCTAGTGTGGCAAACTGTCAGCTGTACATTGAAGGCAAAAGGTCGTAATTTTATGATCATATTCAACTAACAAAAAAAAAAAGACCTAAATGGAGAAATGGGGTTCCTACAGGGATGCATTTGTTTCTCCGCAGACTTGAACAGGAATGTCTTTGACCAACATGCAAAGTACAGCATGGAGAACAAATATGAAACCAGAGGAGGAAAAGTGCTGTCCAACACCATAAGATCTCCGTTTTGTTCCAACCGCAGCACTGAACGTATGTAGCGGTTCTCCTCGATGTCAGCAGCCGGTATACTTGAAGGCATTTACTCTATTAAACGTTGTTTAAGAGGCCACAGAAAGCTTATTTTTGAAAAAATAGACAGACCACAGGCTTTTGTACAATGACAAAAGAAAAAAAAAAAAGGAAAGAAAAGAAAATAAATTATTCAGGGGACAAAAACAAGACAGTGGTGCTACAGTGCATTTCCTCTAGTGTAGACAAGCACCTCTACTACGACACAAACGGCTAACTGTACGAGGCACTTAGGAGTTATAGTAGGAAAGATGCTGCCCAAGCCCCCTCCCAAAATATACAACCCTTTACCTAAACAAGCAACGCTGCTCTGACCTCTAAGCGCGTCCAAAATCCCATCCATTCTCATTTAGTCAAAGAGGCTATGTTAACTGTTTGGACAGAAATGCAGTTTGTGTATTGTTTTTATGCTTTTATATCTACAGAATCCTTCAAGATGAGTAAAAGATATGCTATGAGCGGGGTAGACATGTCATATTAGTGTCATGATGTCAGTGACAATTTAACATGTTATGTGATAAAGATAAACGTTAGCTCTTACCGAGAAATGGTGCAGAAAATAAAACAAAAAGGAGAACCCTTGTATAAATACAATAGTATCATGTCCATCTTTTTTTTTTTTTTTACATATCTTTGCAAGTATTTTATTTACCTTTCTTAACATTTATGTTTAAATACCTTTCCAATCCCAATTCAATTCCTTCTGCGAGTTAAACTGAACCAAAGGCCATAAGGCCAACTATGACGTCACCTCTCAAAATCCACAAGGATAGTGCTTTACCCCCAGGAAGCGGGGGGGCCTGCAGCCCAGCACATCAGGTTGGCTGCCAGGGAGTGTGCACACATTTCCATAAAACTGACATCCCTCACAAAATAGCATTTACAGTTGAAGAGAAGACAGAAATAAAGCCAAGCCTTCGGCACTTCCTCATCTCGTTAGGAGATCCATCAGTGTTATCCCTCATCCCATCTCACCATCTGATCGCATCGGAAGCTCATTTGGTGAAACTGACAGTGTGTGCTGACTGATACAGGCGTTGGGGATTTGGTCAATTTTTTTCTTTTTTTTTTATGCTCACATGTACATATATTTTTTTCCAGAGTATTAACGCAGTGGACGATGCAGCCGTTTTGTTGCCTTCACGCTTCGTTTTCTGTTGGCGGTATGTTGTTAGCTGAAACTGTGGAGGAGTCTTGTTTGCGAGTCATCCGGTCCAACTCGGCCTGGACGTCAGTCAAACCCGGCTTCTGCCCTTAGGGAAAAAAGATAGAAGGAAGACAAAACCCAAAAGTAATCTCCTGTAGCTTCTGTGTGATTTCATGAAAAAAAAAAAAAAAACAATACAGTTTTCTTCATCCAGCAAGAAAATGACTTATGGATGATAGGAATGCTGTGAGATGTGAGTGATTAGTGACGTTTTTCCAGTAAACATCCATGCAGGACGTACAAAACATGTACTCATGCAGCATTCTTTCAGCTCGTTAATCGGATGCTAGCAGTGCTCAGGGCTAGAGTGTAACAAATGGGATCTGGGGCAGAGAAAGGAGTTAGACATGGACATTCTCAGCATCCATGTATTTAAATCACAACAATAAAAAGACAGACTGAAAATGCAGCAGCTGAATGAGCCAAGTGGCTCAAAGAAAAACAAAAAGGTTGATTAATGGAGTTGAGTTCAGTTAACTTCCATAGCATTAATTCACAACATGCTGCCTTAGGAGTTGTGAGTCATTAGTCTCCATGCAATCAGACACCAGTGATCGATGCTTTCAGTGAATACAGGCCTGTTTCCTCAGCAGTCAGATGTTGAGTCAAAGCTGAAACATTTTATTTTCTCCTGATTTAACCATCTGAATTAGGCTTGGAACATAAAACTTTACACAAAAACTGCCAACAGCTTCAAAGACCAAGATTTTCTTATTCCTATTTTACTTATGAAAGCAATTAGTACTTTTTACATAAAAGCGAACTGCATAATGTGGGGTACAACTTATACAGCACAACATATTGCTATGCCACATTCACATCGAATGCGATTTGAGCAGCATAGAAGCGTCTGATGGATCTTTGATGCTCCTGGGGCGAGTTAAGTAAAGTGTTTACAGATACATCTGAGGCTCTTATGTTCAATGGCAGAGTGTCTCTTTGCTATATTTGCTCTTATTAGCTGGTAAAGAAGAAGTTTCAATGTTTTTAAGTGAGAAAATCAACCTCAAAACATCGTCTGCGCAGTCAGTTTATTAAGACTACGATCTTGCCCTGAAATTTTTGCTTTGCTGTTGGAGCTGCGCAGACCCCCACATTCTAACGGCGCCCTGTCACTGGAAATCCTCCGCAGTAGCTGCCCCATGGCAGCCAGCCTCTATGAGACTTCACTGTTCATGGCAGCTGGTCGTGGATCCCTAAATCCCTTAATCACTATATAGAGCAGGGACTATATAGTGGACTTTATAGTGAACTCAGTTAACTGAGCGTTCAGAAAGTTAACTGAGACCAACACTGTAATCTCTGACTGCAGCGTATATCGAAAACTGTAAATGCGTTCAAATGTCATATCCCCTTTATTGAATGAATGTATGATTGCCATTTATATTGCCATTAATTTATTGTCCAGGCCAGTCAATATACAGTAAACAGAGTATGTTGCCACTGAAAATCCATTACACTGCTCTAACTTCTAGAGCATAGAGCAACTACTTTTAGTATTGTAATATAAAGCTTTACGTTTTCTAAAAAAACATATCTATCAAAACTAAACTTTGAAATATATCTCTTCAACCCAAACTTAATATATGTTTTTATTTCAATCTTGCAAACTTTTCCTTAAATTTTGCAAACCAAAATTTGTCAATAATTTTATATCATTCTTTAAACATATTAAATCTCATTAACTACTGAGCAATTAAAATTTAAATTGACAATTCTTCAGTACTCTTTGTAATAAAAACTTTTCTACTACTGAATAACGTTTGGACGAATAATTTTAACCCTTTAACTGGTTTTGTAAAAGAAAACCAGTTAAAGTAGCATAGCCAAGTTCAAGAGACTTTTTAAGACATTTCCCCCCCCTCTGGTGAGAAGCTGAAATGACAGCATGTTGTTCACCCTCATGGGAGAAGAGGAAAAGCACCAGGCTGCTGTGACTGGACAGATTTTTGGTTTAGAGGCCTTATGTTATCTGGAAACTTCACATCCAGTTGCCAAAACAGAACTTTTCAACCTTGACCATGACCTGGATGACTGGGACTCTTCACAGATATCTGAGGTAGGAATGTTCTAAATATTTAAGTCATTTTGAATAGAGCATCTAACCATTTCAGCAAAGACGAAGGTGGAATGCGAGTTCCTCATCTTATTTAATCCTCAATCACGCTCCATTTTCCCCCCTTTTTCCATGCTAGACAAAATCTACTTTCTTACTCTTGTGGAGTATGTGATTGGATTTGAGATTTACTTATGACTGGTCTTAGATGCATCTCTTTCTAAGGCGTCAAGTATCCAGGTGAAGAGGCCGTCCGTCACACCCAGAGAATCAGAGCCAATTCCCTTTCTCATGAAATACAAAGAAAAAAAGCCTATAGAGGGACCTGCTGTAAATAGAGGAAAGCTGATTTTACTTATGGGATAATCATAAGGGAATGTATAGGAATAAAATAAAAGATATTTAACTTTTAAACTGGCCCAAAGCAGCTTTAAGAACTGGATCTAACATAAGCTGGTTAGGATCTGGAATCCTTTTCATGTAAAACTCTTTATTGTCTCAATATTCAACTGAGTAAAAGGTTAATGGATGGTTAACACTGAAATGATGGGTTGTACCTGTTTTCTTTGCAGATCCCTGCACCCCAGCTCCCACTGCTCCAGCTCCTGGGCTTCCTGGCGATCCGGTCTTTTTACTCAACAGACTGTTGAAGAAGTTGGCCAGCACTCCTTCATTAGCAGCTCCTGCTACAACACAAACATTTCTCAATCACCACAAAGTCTGGGAATTTCCCCTGAAAAGTCATTATCCACCACATTCAATCATGTCAATAAACACTACATCTTTCTGTAATGTCTAATATAAACTAATCAGTCTTAAGTTACTTTTTCTTTGGAGCATATTTCTTGCATTTATTTGTATTTATTGCTGTTCGTTTTTAGCATTTTTAAGTAAGGTATTACTATACATGGATGTCCACAAATACACTGGTTAAGAAGTAGGAACTCAACTTGCATGAGTCCCAACTCATGGGGCATGCAACTTTAAATAGGTAAACTGCTAGACACTTTAAATCGTAAGCGTAAATTCAAGACTTTTCAAGACAAAAACATTTAGTAATGTCCTTTGTAATTTAGGTCAAATAAATGATGCTTTCAAACACCTGAGCCAATTGGTTAACTAACCTTTGATGTCTCTCGTACAGAAGCTCATATATCAAAAGATTACTGAACTAGAAATACTGAAACCTTTAATGTTCCAGCCAGACCAAAGGTTTTATAAATAAGTAATGATTAACTTTATTTCCTCTCCAATGTCGCTACAAACATGCCAAGTGTGAGGGATTGACTGAGTCAATGAGTCGATGCAATTAACTGGTTTTCCTCAGATAGAAATTTTTGAATCAATCTGATTGGATGATCTGGTGAACTGTAAAGTGCCTTGAGATTACATTTGTTATGAATTGGTGCTATATAAACAAACTGAATTGAATTACAATATAATCGTGGCATTTCCACAAAGGGAAACCGCTGGTATTAAGAAGTATTTCTTATACCTTTTATGAGACAAACTAGGAATTTCCCCCTTTTACATTTAATGAATAATAAACATCTAACTCTTAAAATATAGATATATATACATAAATATAGACAGATTTGTCATTTTGTTTACACTATTGTAAAACAAAAGAAATTTCATCTGGAACAGCTCGCTGGACAATTTCCTCTTTTTTAGTGCAGCCTTGAAAAATAGTACAAAAAAAAAAAGAAAAGTCTAAAAAGAAGGTAAGTCTAAAGCCAATAAATAAAAAATATTAAAAATACATTATTTATGACTTAGGAACCCCAGAGGATCCCGGATAGACTCATCCTTTTATGAATGTGTTACAAATGATCCTGTCCAACCTTTCATGTTAGGGTCAGGCTTTTTGACAGAAGCCATCGGTGAGCTGGTTACACTTGGCTGACCAGCACGACTCGGTGCTCTGGGAGACCCAGAGGCTGTCCTTCCAGGAGACTCCTAAAGGCACAACAAAAAGCTTTTTAAGCAAAGATCAATAAAAAAGAACAGTTTACAAGTGTGCTACTCTCAGACACTCACTGTTGCTCCTCTTGTTGGAGTTGCTGGCTGCTTTGCTAACAAAGACTGCAAGGGAAAAATAGATATTAGTAACTTCTAACATCTGCTTGAATTCATCTGGGAAAATTGACATGTCTTTACTGCATTATCATCATCATTTAATTTTATTAAAGAGACATTATGCAAGTTTGTACAGAAAAAATATCTTTAAAATAACTTTTTTTTTATTTGATATTGTTTGATGAGCAAATTGACACTTCAGTAGTTCAGCATCGATACATCTATAAGCCTGTTTTTTCCTGAATTGACTTCCTGCGCTAAACCGAGACTTCAACAGCGTCTCAACCGAGACAAATGGAAACTCCAGGTAAGTTGAAAGGTAAAAAAATGCAAAACGTGCAAGCTAACAAAAACACCAGCTCTGTGTATTGGCCACAGGTTGCAGAATCGTTAGAAAACTCTACAATGCCTCTTTAAGTTCTGCATTTTTTGGTAAGACATAGAATGGAGAAATGGAATAAACTGAAAATTATTTTCCTCCATGCATGCTTCCTGTTTTGTTTCCTCAAGAAGGGAACCAAGTGCTACACTTACTACAGCAGGGAATACAAAAATAAAATTAACATCTATTATTAAAGCTATAAAAAAAAAAAACAGAGGTGCAATCCTTCAGCTTTTGTAACAAAAACAAAATGTCAAGACCACTATAAAACACAGAGGAATGCTGAAATCAAAATGTAAAGCTTACCTGCTGCTTCATCAGGAATACTTGTTCATCCTCTGCATTTATTTCTTTGTCATGGACCAACTAGGAGAGATAAATTACGCAATTGATGCTAATGTTATCTTATAATGCCCACAGTCATCATTTGATCTGTCGTACCTTTCGCACTGGAGGCTTTGTGATGAAATCTTCAAAAGGATCTTCTGGTTTGACTGTTGTGAGGTTTTCATGCAAAATCCCAATTTTCTTCTCATTATCCCATCCAGACGGACTGTAACAAAAGAAAAAAAAGAACGTTGTCCATGGAGGGGGAAATAAAAGAGGTTTATACATATAGCAAACAGTTCTGTTATTTCAAATTATAGCAACATAAGATGGAGATCAACATATAGAAGAGCTGTATAATGATGATCAACAGAGGAAAAATACTTTCTTTTCTATTTTAAAAAGACAAATAAAATATACACATTCGGCAACAAATAAATTACTTACATGAACACTGCATCTTTCTCCACCACTAAGGCTGGTGTGACGAATTGAAAGTCATACAGCTTGTGTACGATGTATTTGTAAAGCAGATCCAGGTTTTTCTCCTCTTTGACTGAAGTGTAGATCAGGCCAGCACCATCTGTTTGATTTAGTTAGGGATGGTACTGACAGCAACTTGTCTCATAAACAGTCTCACTTAAGACAACTTTAAATTATTAGGCAACACTGGAAGGATACACTGTAAGCTAAACCGTCTGATGCAGGACTGGATGAAATCAAAATGCTCGTCTCTGAAGTCGTGCTCCTTCTCTAATACGCTGATCGCGTCACACTAAAAGTTAAACACAGATTGAAAGTTTTATGTATAGCATAAAAGGAAAACTGCAGAAAAGCTAAATAAAAAAAAACAAACAAACCCAACTTTAACACCAAATTAATATCTAAAAATAATAATAATTGAATGTGATTTTTATTGCGCTTTGGTTGTGGTAACTTCTGTAGGAGTCTATAGGAAAATTTGGCAAAGAGAATGTAGCCTAATGACTAAAAAAATAAATAAAAATGAGACAAAATAATAAAATACAGTATATGATTAAGCATCATTTCGCCTCTGCAATTTGTTTGGCTCACTAAGAGTAGTTCTGGTTCCCTTAAAGGTACAAATTCATGTTATATGCCTCTATAAAAAAGGCCAAAAAAGCATTTGATTATGATAAACTAAGGTTATGTAAACAAAGAGTCCATCCTGATAGTGTTTTTATTGTTCTTTTTAAGCCTCAATAGAGCTCCAGCAAAAAAGACAAAATGAGCTCACATTAACAGATGTGGCGCCATCTACCTGCAATACTATTGAACTACCAGAAAGCCAGATGACAATAACAGATTTGAATTAATAACAGATTAAGCAAAAACAAATCTGAAAACACAAAAATAAAAACTAATATCCCAGCAGGATGTGCTATTGTTTCAGAAAAATGTATGCAATCATAGTGAGCTACTGGTGTATAAAATAAAAGTCAAAAAATGTTACTACATACCATTAAACATAAAAAAAGTAGTAAAACCGTGCACACACTGATTGTAAGTTCAAAAAACTATAAGCCTTTTTGATTACAAGGGTTATAAAAGGAATCATAATGGTCAAATTTGGTCATAGGATAATGAACGGCTGATCCAGGGAATTATTTAATACGCTAAAATATGCAGCTATAACGTTCTAAATGTGTCAGTTTATGTTTTTGTCGGTGTGTTTCAAAGTCTCCCTCAGACAAACTCAGAAAAATCAGCTTATTTTGAAAGCAAATGAATGAAGAAATCTGTTGTGTCAGGAGTGCTCACATCACTGTCTAACATAAATTATTCATTAGGAATTTACCTTTGTGCAAACAATTAACACTGGAATGCCCAAGTTGTGTGTGAGTGTGTTTTCTCCAAGCGGTAGAACAACAGTCTCTTCTTCCCCTGACGTCGGGGCCCGTCGTGGGGAGGATGGGGCTGCATCTTCTGGTTCCGAGTACTCTTGAAAGGCTTTTACCACTTGGAGAAAGAAAAAAGAAGAACAAAACAAGTGAACACAAAGCTTAAACAAGTCAGACCATAACAGACCATTTGATCCCCTTTCAAACTCTGGCTTCTTTGTCTGTAATACAGTAACAGGCTCAACACAAAACTGCAATTCAGTTTTATTAGAGCCCTCATCATTTCTATAAACAATGGGTTTAAAAGAGGAATTTTCTTAGTTGACTAAAATCTAACATTAAAATAAACAAAACCTGTATTACTGATTCAACCAGGGAAAACTCCTCTTATCCTGCCATCTTATTTCCAGATAACAAAGACATCTCAAGTAGTGGTGAAGACAAATGTAATTGTTGTTGACCAACATGTTTCTGAATTAAATGTAGCGCCAAGAGGGTAGGGCTGCAGAATTCACTAGGAAATTAAAGTAATTTTTTTCTTGAAATAAGAGTATTTCCAATTGATATGAGCAGGTAAGTAGCACAGATTGCCAATGGAATAAGAAAATTCACATTTAAAATCAAGAAAAGTCAACTCCATTATGAGATTATCCAATTACCGGTATCTTATTTCAAGAGCAGAAATGATCCCTCCATTGGCAGATCACCTTATTTACCTGCTCAAATCCAGGCAACAAGAATTACTTTAACAAACATTTACTTATTTCTAGCTCAGTGTTTGTTGTTATATTATAATGCATGCCTCCAACTCTAAGGCTTTGGGACCACAATTAAAAAGCAGTGAGAGTCCTAATCTACAAATGAAGCAAATACTGAAGTCCATCAAAGTCACCTCAGGAGTGCGTCAACAAAACATCCATGAAGTCACTAACAAACCCAGAACATCAAAGCACTGCTGGAGTCTTTTGCATTGGTTAAGGTAAATGCTCATGATTCAACAGTTAAAAAAGAAAACTGCCGCAAATATGCAATCATAGAGGAATATTCCAAGCTGAAAACTGAAAAACACAACAAAGACCCGAGTTTCAATTGGGAAAGCATTGTGTGTACTGAAGGACAAATTATAACCCTTCGACATCTGGTGGAAAACAATCAGCATTTATGAAAAGGACCGACATGGTAGTGGAAAGGTTACTGACTGATGCTGCTTTCTGCTCACTACCAGAAAGCTCCAGTTTGTGACCTTCATTTCAAAAACATGTTTAATATGCCGCAAAGGAAACAACGTGAAGGTCTTCATGTGACCTAGTCAAAGTCTAGACTAAAAGCCGTTTGAGAGTGCGTGGCATGACCTTTAATTATTTACGCCTAAAAGGCATTTAATGTGCCTATAAAATTCCTACGCCGCAAACGCAAAAGAGTTGCTTCCAAGTGTGGAACAACTGCATTTAAGGTTTAGGGGGTAATTACCGTTTCACATGAGGTATATTTTGATCTAGGTGGTTGGGATAACTCTTTTCTGTTGGGATTAGCATTACTTTTATTTACTTGAGATATCATGATTTGAAACATATGAAGGTGAAGACATAGAGATCTGTCTTACCTTTGCCAAAAGACATCAACAAAAATGCAACAACAAAAAAATATCTGTAAGAAGAAATAAATGTTTGTGTCACTGCCCATATTATGATGCGTTAGTATCAGGGCGAAAAAGATCAAGTCTATTTATCTCTGTGCCGTCGAGCTAGAAAAGTTGTCCACACAATTTTAAAAGCTGCTGCAGAAGACTGCGGAGTGGGGGGTCATAAGCAGGAAACTATGGCTTACTTCCTCAGGCGCTTTGAGAATGCAGCTTCAGAAGACCCAATAAACTGGACAAAGCTGAAAGTTATGTCAAACGTTTTTCCTTCAAACACAGAATTCTGATCATCGGACAAGCACTTCTGTTATAATCCCTCTTTAAGAAAACACTACATGGAGATTAAGATTTCCCCAAGTCCAGAAACTGTATAAATAAGATAAACTATTAGAATTAACAGGTAATATATGCTTCTTTAAAAAAAAAAATAAACACCAACCATTAAAAATGAGCTCTGAAGTTCAGTAGCAGAGGAACATGTAGGCTTATTTAACAGCAATGGAAATAAAATCACTTTATGTCACTTTTAAACATTAAATGAATGCAATACAGCCAGACAGACTTTGCCCGATCAAGACCTACTTATCTGTTTCACAAACAAAGGTGAGGCCAAAATTCACCCAAACTATAGTGAAAGCTCAACTTAAACTCCAATTTAAATAACCCTTAAAAAAAAAAAAAAAAACATATGCTAAAGTAAATAACTCATATGCATTTTTAAAACCCCGCAGTCAGAATGTGCATGCTGCATTCTCAAATATTTAATAGCAAAAAATAAAAAAAAATCCCTCCACAATCAGAGCTGGGGAAAAACTTTTTTCTTTTAGCTCACTGTACTGCAGCAAAAGGCTGACCCTGTAATTTGACAAGAGCAGACCCAAGAAAACCCAGCCTCCTTTTAGTTACAGCAGTCAGAATATCCAGCCCATTGCCTGAATTCAGAGTCACTTCCTTTCTTTTCCTGACGTTGCTCTTGGAAGGGAGGCAACCATGATGCAAGACGTGTGCAAGAGTGCCTGGACAAAAGCCACTGACACTCTTTCAGGCTGCTGGCCTGTCTACATAATGTGGTTCCCCCACAACATTACAGACAAAACAATGCTGCTTTATTTTAGAAGACATTGGATTGAGCCTGACAAAAGTAAATAACGTTTAAAATGTTAGAAACTGACCACAACAGCAGAATCACCAAAAATGGCTGCAGTGCAAACTAATAGCATCACTGTCCATTAGCCATGGAAATCATGACCATGCTAAAAATAGTATCCTAGCTATGGAAGCCAATGAAGAAAACAAAAATGTTTAAATCAGAACCAGCAGCATCAAAACAAAACGATTGTTGTATCACCAACTGTAAGGTAGCCGTTAGTTAAAATGTACAATCAATTTTGGAGGCTCTTATTCAAACTACTTGAATTGAAATATATTCCTTTTTTTGGTTCTAGTGGTAGTTTTTTCAAGCCTAGATCAGCTTCCCCTTTCTATCACAGAACTTCCTTATTACAGACATGTTACTTATTTAACATCTAATACATTGAGTATAAATCAGAAAATCTGAGTACATTTTAATTCCGGCAATTAGACCTAACCTGGTTACCTTGTAGGTATTGAACCATTTTAGGCTTAAAAATCAATATCAAGTTTGAAACGTTGAAAACAAACAGGGATGTTTATAAGGCCCAAAGGGCTTATGTAAGTACTCTGAAAACAGTCTTTCTAAACACAAAAGAATAGTTCATAAGGAAGAGATGACCAAATCTAAAATTAACAGGATACTATCTGAGTACATCACACTCATTGATTTGCAGAACTGGCCCGCAGCGAGGAACACACAGCTGAGGATCATGGGCCTCTCTGATGATGACCTAGAATCAGCCATGACAATGTGTAATGTTATACACAGTCTCCCAAGGAAACATTCACCAAGCTTTTCCTTGTTTCCCCTCGATGGCCTGTCAGCAAGAACCAAGGCTCTCATTACGCAACGCTCACATTGCTCCCACCCTGAGATGCTTCAGGTAGCTTTGCTGCTGTTTGTTTTCATTTCAAGAGAAGATTTCTTTTTTGAAAACTAAGCAAAATGTCACATACATTTTCTAACTATTTTGGGCTAGATACTTAGGTTTACTTTTAATCAGCGCTGTAACATAAATCTAATTTTAATGTTGCGAAGGTCGCAAAGATAATAACGATCCAATAAGAGACAAAATACAGATAAATAAACTTCTTACTCCTTTGTTCCATTTCTCTCATGTCCTCTGGAGGAATCTTTAGCTTGTCCACATGGTCTCGTAGAACACTGGCCCACTTTTGCAATGACTCCATAATGGTCCAGGGCCGCGACATGTCCGCAACAAGAACCGCCAGACAGCTGGGTAGCGACTGAGGCGTGACAGCAAACTTTAGAAGGCCTTTATGGTACAGATCTCCATCCAAGATCCACACATTGCAGCGAGTCAGGTCTACATCAAACACAAAGCACAAATATTAAGACTTATCCAATCATTTGGATGCAGTTTGTAGCGGGCCGTTTTTAAGCAATGTAGCAGGTAAAGTCACCATCTCGGTCTTCATCATGGACGCTCAAGTAAAGATACTCCAGCCCTCTCCCCTTCTTGTTGTGCTCAGCTCCTTGGAGTTTGGCCATAATCGTCGTCTTTCCCGATCCATCCTCACCTGTAAGATATTTAATAATTAGCTGTATTAGAGAAGAAAATCATATACCAGTCTTATGTTTTTACATTTTATCACGGCTGCACTTTAAAAATGGAAGCTTCTTGAGAGCTGTACTGAACGAATTTTGTTTTTGTAAACACGACGCATATACAAAATGACAATGAGGTCTGTCAAAGGCTACGTTCACACTGCAGGCCTTGATGCTCAATTCCGATTTTTGTGAAATCCGATTTTTTTGCGTTGCCGTTCAGATTTCAAAATTTATGCGACTTGTATATCTCCTGTGTGAACTGCATTCATACAACCTAAACGTCCCACAGAGGATGCAATGACGTCACAAGCAAGCATGCATTGTGTTTACGGAAGTAAAAATGGATGTAGAGCTGGAGAACATCTAGAGATCTTTACCAAAATCAAAAACTCAATCTTTCCAAGATTGTTAAACATAAATAGTACTCCGCATTATCATCCACCATCGTTGTTGTTCTTGCCGCTTCTGGGTAGCAATAAGCAGAAGAGTGACCACTGTCGGGTATTAATGACATTCAAGCCGGATGAATGCGACCTGGCTGTTCAGACACAGGTCGCATTTGAAAAGATCAGATTCCTATCGGATTCAGGACCACATAGCCAAGTGGCCGAGGTCGGATTGAAAAAAATGGGATATGGGCAAAAAGAAAATAAATCGGATTTGGGCCACTTTTGGCTGCGGTGCAAACGAGGCCTAAGTCTAAGAAGCAAATAGGCTGAACTGGAATTGGTATTCATTTAAACAAATTCAAGACTTAAATCTAAAAGGAGAAGCAGAGGAGAAGAAATTTTCATGTAAATCCTGAGATAACTGGAAGAGGCTACAGTGTCTCAGACATGACATCTTTGCTGAAACAACTACCCAGCATTATTTACAGTTAATAGTGCGTGTTCATGAATGACTCCACCCAATCAAACCTCTCAGACATTTTTTTCTTATTATGTCATATTACGTTTGATATTACAGACTCTGATACAGTGATTTCATTTTAAGGATCTGGGATGTTTCAATTGTGTTTGCCCTACAGACACCCACAGGTTAACTATATAATACTTATAAATAAGAAATATGACCAAAGCATAGCATGAAAGATCAGGCATAACAAATACTCACCAAACACGAGGATATTTTTTCCTGATGGTAACTTTGAATTCGACCTTGTTGAGACTTCACTGAGTATTGAGGACCTACAAAACACAAAAACAGAGTCAGAGAGACATCTGTTTGGACGTCAATCAGTATGAAGAGCCTCCAGACTGTGAGGGAAAGTTTTAAACAAACAAAAAGGCAGCCTCATAATCGCTAGTTTATTGATAATTTAGCTGTTATTTTAGCAGTCCAAGAAAGAGTCCACGAGAGTACAGAATCAGGAAATGATCATCTATCACCACTGACCAGCACAGGAAAAAAGAACAGGTAGCAACCTGAATGCATGAAATCTGACAAGATCTCAGCCAAAGTGATCTCCAGTTAATGACACTAAATACCGAAAAGCAGTGTTTTAATTTTCGGTATTTCTCAGGCAGTTTGCTTAGACCTGTTCGTTAACCTTTACACTCTTGCTGTCAACTTGTATCCTCCACGAAGAAGCTATTCAATGTTTAGCTATTTAACACAGAAAAAAGGCACTCGAAATAACGAATTTAACCTTTAGTAATATCAACGCCAATTAAACTTGACAATTTCCAACGCACTCTAATCAGAAAACAGCAACGCTTTTTTTTTTTTTTTTTTTGGTGAAGTGAAATGTAGCCGCAGCTGACGTTAGCTCATCGGCTAGCATCCAGGCTAGCTACAGAGCTAGCCGGGCCGGTGTTTGAGAGGCGAGCAACCGGCAGTGACAAAGCACAACCTCCCGCAGCGGTCTGCGCTGACACCGAGCCGTTAAAAGGCGGCATAACTTGCCAGAGGTTTTGTCCTTCTTCGTCTTCCTTGTTATTGTCACCCGGTCCGGCTGCACCCGGGAGCTGTTTCTCCAGAACGGGAGCCATCTTCTCTCTCTACACCCACAAAGGCGAGGCCCTGCTGCTGCTTGGGCACCGCTAGCACCGCCTTCATCTAACTAACAGACAGGACGTTACATCCGCTGACCGAGAGCTAGAGGGCACGGCTATTCCTAACGTAGCTAGAAATTAACAATTTAATAGAGAAGTAAAACTGATTCATAGTGTACATTAAAAGATAGAAAATAAAGTTAACCGCGTTTGTCAGTGTTTAATATTCCGACGTCCGCTCAAACTTTTAAATATAACATCTGGCCACCTCCCAACAGATGATGTCATTTTTCATTAATCAGCTGAGGGTGGATATGCGGTCTGAAGGTTCACAGGGTCCCGAGCTTTATTGGGTGGCAATCAGGTCACCCAGATATTTATCCGCATACACGAAAAATGGAAATAATACTTTACCCTCTTACTGTCTAATTTATACATTTCAATTTAACCAAACATTCCCTGTCCATCCCTGACTCTGCAACAGTTTTTTTTCACTGGCGTAACAACACAACAATAGGCCCGGCCCCGTATGAACTACAACATTCTGGATTACCCATAAGTCCAAGCTGTAGTGTGAAAAATAAAATACTCAAATAAATAGTTCTTTTAAGATCTTTATTGCGGTTTGAAACATATATGAGCGTATTTTTTTTACCGCCCGTTTAATGAACTATACAGTTATTCACATAGTAATTAAAAGTTCCACTGTCTACTTTGCTATTGGTGTCGTGTTTAAACGGCTCACCATCATGTTGAAATTTGGCATGTGTTGAGGTATAATTAAGGACCGGTCGGTCGAAAATGAATTTAGGTGAGTTTATAGAAGAATTTTGCGCCCTTATTGTAATCAGATGTCCTAGTCCACAATTGCAAAGGGGGCCTACCAGGTTTCAGTGACGGGTCCCCTAAGGAGTCGGGGGCCCCTTAGCATCGGCAGACTCTGCTTACTGATATTTAGACACTAGTTGTTTCTCAATTCGCAGGCTCGGTCCTTCGAAGGACCCTGCTAACATCAGATTAAATGTTTACACCATATCAGATTCAATATGGTGCAGCAGAGGCTGCAGTTGGTTATGGGCCCCCGACCTCTTAGGGGCCCCGTCATGAACACCTCGTTGGCCCCTATGCAATTATAGACCAGGACGTGTCTTTGCAGATGTAGTGGAGTGAAGAATTGCTCCTAAACCCACCTGACAATAGAGCGATTAACTGGCGGGTCCTTATTTATAGCCCAACACACGCCAGATTACAACATGACAGTGAGCCAATTAAACACAACACCAGTAGCAAAGCAGACAGTGGTACTTTTAATTACTATGTTAATAACTGTGTAAAATTTATTAGACGGTTGGTAAAAAAATGCATTCATATATGTTTCAAACCGCAATAAAGATCTTAAAAGAACAATGTATTTGAGTATTTTACTTTTACACTATGACTTGGAATTATGGTTAATCCAGAGCGTAGATTAAAACCATAACCGTTACATACAATGTGTTGGCTGTGTTAGATGATGGATACCAAAAAGAGGTACTTAAGCGAATTTTTGCCAAATTAGTAAGTAATAAGTATTTTTCGTTAAAAAATTGACTTTGCTATAGAATGGTGCCATTTCATACACGCCTTGAGTTAGATTTCTTTGTTTTGAATCTTTTTCGCTCACAGGCTTGTCACGAACTTGCTAAAATTTTGTCCGATTTCTCCACACCATATGAATGAAGGTGTCTTGGCCCAGTTCAGATGACGCTTTGTTCAAGCTTGACAGCTCTTTCCAGAGTTTTCATATGAGGGAAAGATTAGAACTCAGCAGTAGTCTTTTTTGAGATATTGCTTCAGTCTATCCACATAGAGTTCCTTCCCTATGCTATCATTTCTATCAAGTGTACCAGTCCCTCCTGCAGCATAATCCCCATACAATATAATACTGACACAACCCTACGTTGCAGTTCAGACCACCAGACCACCTCCCAGGCTTCCATGATTCACTCCTTTTCCTAATGTGATTTCAGTTTCACCAGACCACAGTACATGTCCCCTAAAAAATAGGGTATATGTGTCTTAGTGGATTTTAAAAACTATGGACTGGATTTTTTTACTTTGCTTATGAAGGAATGGCTTTCTGTCCTTTCCATCTTTTTACTTGACCCATTATATTGTAGATAATGACTCTCCGGTACCAGGACATTTTGCACCTAAACAATTCCGTCTGTGAGAGAACTTTAGGCATCTGGAAATTTTACCCCAAAATATACAATACTCATGGAGATCCAAAGTTGTTATCTTGGTAATCTGACTGATGTTTTATCATGGTGTTACTCGACTGAAAGAGAATTTAAATTAACACAATAATTTGTTGACTAAAGCATTACTTGTAAGTCACATGTAAAGATGTGAGGGTTTTCCCTGAAATAAAGCGTACTTGAACATTCCCGCAACTTCTATATAACATTTTTTTTAAGAAATCAGTGAGTGATTGTCTAATTTCAACTTTATTGCTGGCTAGCAGATGTGTTTTACCAGTGTTTTGATGTAGTTTTAGAAAGAAATTTATATATATATATATATATATATATATATATATATATATATATATATATATATATATATATATATATATATATATATATATATATATATATATATATATATATATATATATATATATATATATATAGCAGTGTACTTACAACGTAAATGACATGTAGCAGATAGACTTCAGTTTTTTTTTAAACGTTTCAGCAAACTAAACATTTTTCTCCTTCTCTTTTTCAAAAAGCATAACAGTTATGAATGATTCTGGTGGAATTATTTATAGATAACATTTATAAAAGAACAAGGAGAACATAAAGAGTATGCTGAATCCATTGGAATAAATAAAATGTTTATAGAAACGTTTAAAGTCTTAACTGTGGAAATCAGTTAATGAAGAAGCAATTTTGTTTGATATTTAGAATATTTAAAAGTGCTCTTTGTTAAATTAGGTTTTGATGAGTCTAGTGAGATTATCTAGGAATGCAATTTTTTTCATAGTCGTTCTTGACTTTCCTGTAAAAAAAGTTGTGGCAGTTGATATTGACAGTACAAAATGATTAAGCAATGAAAATGCCGTAAATAAGGTCCTTTTTTTCATAGTGGCTTCCCTTTACCTTAATTTAAGCTCTTCTTTTGGCCTCCTTGCTCTAGCGCCTTTATCCTGACTAACACTTCTGGTACAATTATAGTGCTCAAAATGTTTGCATCTGCAATTACAACAGCTTCTTTCACAGTAAGCTGCAGTGGGCCAACTCTGAATTTTTATTGGCTACATTACTTTAATTTATTAAATAACTAAAGGTGTTTAGTAAGAAGGTGACTGTTGTATTAAGTAAAACAGACCATAAACAGTAGAATATTAGAATATATGTAGTTTGGCACATAGCTGTTAATATATCTCTGGGGGAATTATACAATTGTGATTGTTTTACAAGCTTTAATTCATTTGATGTGTGGATTTGCCCTTTGTAGGCAATGTCTACATTGATTAACAAGGCTTTTCTGCTCTCCTACTTGGTTGTAATTTGGCAGCCATATCCTGTCAGCAAGTTTCCATAGAGAATCACAAAGGATAAGAAAAAGCCTATTGCTTGCTTATTCATTCACGTTCACTAATAAATGCATGAAATGTAACCCCAGTTCAGGTACAAAAAGCCACAATTTTAATCATTATGATTAAAATTTAAATAAAACCTGGGAGAATTAGTATATTTCAACATGTATTCAATGTGTGAATAAACTTGAGGGCTCTTAGGCCCCGGGGAAAAGTCATACGGTTTGCTAATTCCTTATGAAGATCCTGCTTATATCAATAGTACTTTTTTGTTTTGCTGATTAACTCTTAATAAACTGGGTTTGCATCACATCAGGCAAAACTGCAAAGATCCAGAGACATATGGGTCCTTTTAATGGACTTCACCTCCGCACCTAATAAGATCCTAAACATCTTTACTTTCACTGTAACGGCCTCCACCTGTCATTAAGTGGAGGCCGTTACATCCTGACCTAAAGGACTATAAGATGAGGCTTTGGGACACCCAGCTCCTGAACTATCAGTACTGGTGCGCCCCAGGTTTGTGTGATCTCCCCTCTGCTCTTCTTCTGGCCCGCCACAGGAAAGTATTTGGCCCTCAAGAGCCAATGGTGCCATGAAATAGAGGCATAAGTTCTTTTAAGGTGTTCAAAGAGGTTAAAACTGCTGGATAGCTGAGAGTAAAGTTAAAATACCAGAGCAATGAACTTTAGATATAAAATATGAAATCAAATGTACATTAAAGAATTGATTAAAAAAAAATGATAAAAGTGTCTGCTACACAGGACCTTGGGAAACCCTTCAATCAAACTGATGAAGTTTGGCAATGACCCAACGCTAATTAGTCTCGTCTAGAACGGTAATGAGTGGCCTACAGACTGAGGCTGATCAGCTGGCTCTCTGGTGGAACGGCATGGAGCTCAAAACTATGTAGATGACCATGGGGTTTAGAAGCTGAGCTTCAATTCAATTCAGTTTATTTATATAGCTCCAATTCACAACACGTGTCATCTCAAGATACTTTACAGTTCACCCGGTCATCCAGTCAAATCGATTCAAAGTTTTCTATCTAAGGAAAACCAGTTGATTGCATCGACTCATTGACTCGAATGGAATCCCTCACACTAAGCATGCTTGTAGCGACAGTGGAGAGGAAAAACTCTCTTTTAACAGGAAGCAACCTCCAGCAGAACCAGGCTCAGTGTGAATGGCCATCTGCTGAGGCCGACTGGGATTCAAGGAGACAGAAGATACAAAAAGCAGCTGTAAAAGGCGGCCCGGTCCAGGAAACACACAGCCAGGCAGACAAGCTTCAAGCCAACTCCCATGTCAGAGGATGAAGAGAGCACATGCAGGCAGTCACATTTAGAGAAACAGGACTGCACTGGAAAACAGGCTGATCTCCAACATCAATAAACAAGAGTGTTGATGGCAGCAGCACAGCTGATATTTCTCTACAGGATGGTGTCACAGCCAAACAGGAACAGACGAGGCAAAGCTACTATGAGAAAAAGCAGAGAGAGCATAATGTTAGAGATTAAACTAACACCTTCTGCAGTGTGGGAGAATAGAGATAGAATGAAGCAGAATAATGAAATGAAAATCCTGAGCTGGTAGCAGGTCGAGCTCCCTGA